GTGATTTAAGAGCCCGATTGTCTTCAAAATTCACACATCACAATATTTTTATCTACCCAAGGTTTGGTGTGAAAATGGAATATATCGGTCAACTCCTTATGGTACCTCTCCCACAAAGGGTCAAAATTAAGAATATCCATGGAGCTCATAAAACGCGAAATTTACATCCACTTCCATTCAGACATTCGGTACATCTCAGTATTTCTATCACCACAAGTTGTATTAAAAAGATGGTAGAGATCAGACTAAAAAATGTCAAGATTTGGAATAACCAAAACGATTATAAAATCCGAAATAAGCGTTAGGTTATCTTCATATTTCACACATCCCTTTATTTTTAGTAAACCACGGTCTTGTGTGAGGATGGAATATTTCGTTCCACTCCTTCTGGTACCTCCCCCATAAAGGGTCAAAATTTTGAATATCAATGAAGTTCTTAAAACTCGAAATTAACATCCGATTCCCTTCAGACTTGGTACATCTCAATATATCTATCAACACAAGTTCTATTATAAAGCTGGTAGAGATCGGTACCTCCCCCTACCCCCCATATAGGGTTCAAAATTTGAAAAACAAAACGCTCAAAGAAAGCGAAATAATCATCGAACTCTGTTCATATTTCTCAAATCCCATTATTTCTGCCAACCCAATATCTATTTTGAAGATTATATATATCTGCGTACCCCTTCTGGTACCTTATCCACAAAGGGTCACAATTTTTAATACCTTCACCTGTCATGACTTGCAAAACAAGTCAGCGATTCTTTACAACTTGGTATTTCTAAATATTTCCTTCGACCAGAAATCTGAATTAAATACCCAATACTTAATTTAGTACCACTTAGTACTTTTCGTACAATTATAGTACACATTTCAAAAAAACCACCGCTAAATCTTAAACACAGGTACCATCAGGGCTTCACTGTCCAATAGCCAGTCTTGCCTTTTTTCCTTTCCCAATTTCCTATGGCCGTCCATAGTTGTCCAAAAAGTGGGTATTCATAGTTGTCTCTACCCAAAACACTGTGCGGAGTTTAATAGCTTTGACATTAAATTGTCATAGGTTTATGAAAAGAAATTCCATTTTTTTCTACAGCTGAAGCTGGTTTGCCCACGATAACAATTTTTTGTCTCAATTTTCCTTTCCATAATTTCATTTTTTTATAAAGACTTTATTCTTGGTACGTGACAAAATACAGATTTTAGATTTCATAAATAAGACAATACTACAAGTGCACAAAAAGTACTAAATAGTACAATACTTGGTACAATTTTGTGTTGGGTGAAAAGATAGCGCTTGAAGTCTGAAAATTGGTATTGGGGTCGCTGTTTATGTGCAGTCTGAACATATGGAGGTGGTTTCAGAAATGTGTACTATAATTGTACGAAAGGTACTGAATGGTACTAAATTTGGTATTGGGTAAAGGTATAGAGATAGAATTCTGAAATTTGATATTGAAGTCTCTGTCGGTATTTGGAATTGAGATATGGGGGTGGTTTTTGAAATGGAGGTGGTTTAGAAATGTGTACTATAATTGCACGAATAGTACTAAATAGTACCATATTTCTTATTGGGTTAAGGAATAGAACAGAAATTTTGAAATTTAATATAAATGTGACTGTTGATGTCTGTAATTAAGATATGGAGGTGGTATTTGAAATGCGTACTATAATTTCTTGGAAAGTACTAAATTTGATATTGGGTGAATCTGGTGAAAGCTGGAATCCTAAAATTTGATAAGAAAATCTCTGTTGGTATCTGGGATTGATCCATGGAGGTGGTTTTGGAAATGTATACTAAAAGTGCATGAAAAGTACTAAATGGTACTATATTTGGTACCAATTGGTATCGGGTGAACAGATAGTGCTTGAAATCTGAAATTTGATATTAGGATCGCTGTTTATGTGTAGCCTGGACATATAAAGGTGGTTTCGGAAATGTGTACTGTAATTGTACGAAAAGTACTAAATTGTACTAAATTGGGTTTTAGTTGAAGGGATAAGGCTGAAATCCTTAGATTTGATATTTAAGTCTCTGTTGGTATCTGGGATTGAGATATGGAGGTGGTTTTGGAAATATGTACCATTATGGTACGAAAAGTACTAAATGACACTAAGTTGGGTATTTTGTAAAATGATAGATTTAGAATTTCGTATTCAGAATTAAAATTTATACAAATATCGAAGAAGAACAAACTTATGATATGCCTAGGTCGGGACCGAGGAAGCCATATAATATGGTGTTGATGCCTTCAGAATCGATGAGTCTACATAATTTTTTGTTAATGCTTTATGACCCTCTCCCCTCCCCCTAAATATAGTGCCTTCAACTATATTTTCAATTCATTAAATTCCCTCTCGTTTTGGTCTCTCCCCCCTCTCTTTCCAGAGCCCGTAACCCCACCTAATCCGAATGTAAATGTAATTTTCATTTTCAATTTAATTATTACTTCCCCATCGGCCGTCCGGCCCTTAATTGAAAATATAATTTATACAATTATGCTTGTTGCTGTCGAATCGGCAAAGTCTTTTCTCACGCTCATTTCCGCTACTCTCTTCCGCATGCTTTCCCGAAGAAGAGGAATAAGCAGCTAATAACAAAGATTTCTACCTGGCTACTGTCGTACGCAGAAGCCCCGAAGCCCTGACCACAGCCACGAGGAAATAACAGAATCGAGTAGAAACATAAAAATGCCTGCCATTTCAGCTGGGTGGACAATGAACCACAGCCAAAACGGTAGACTAAAGAGGTGGCAGTGGTCGGTCCGTCCGTCCGCCAATCACTTTACTTTCAAAAAACAAACATACACAAAGTTCCAACTAAATATGTTGTCTACTATATTAGAGTCGCCAAAGACCGGGCCAGCCATAAAAGGTAACCCGCATGGGCTTTTTTGGTGGGACCAACAAATGCAACAACCACAACAACAAGCCAATGAAATCAAACGAATTGTCTAAAAAGAAATGTGACATAAACAACAACGTCGAGAGTGGAGTAGAAAAAAAAAAAACAAACGAACAAACGAAACGTTTTTGGATTCCAAAACGAGGTAGCAGGCGGGGAGTCGATCGATCGATCGAACGAACCATCATTGATGGTTGGAAACGACGATGACTTTTGCCATTTGATGAAAGCCAAGGTAATAGAATAAAATAAAGAAACAAGTAATAATAGAATCGATGGCTACGGACATACATACATACGTACACAATACAAATAAAGTTAGTGACGTTCCGCAGCTCAGGTATAATAGATTAAATGTTCTTCTAATAGAAGAAGAGAAAAAAATGGTGTTATAAAAGAGGATAAGTCTCCTTAAAGAAGACACATAGATTTTCTATAGAGAAGACCTGAACCTTCTAGTCTTCTATAGAGAAGACCAGAACCATCTGGTCTTCTATAGAGAAGACCTGAACCTTCTGGTCTTTTATAGAGAAGACCTGAACCTTCTGGTCTTTTATAGAGAAGACCTGAACCTTCTGGTCTTCTATAGAGAAGACCTCCTGTTCTTCCATCGAGATGACCTCCTAGTCCTCTATGGAGAAGACCAGACCTTCAGGTATCTTCTAAGAACAAGACCTCCAGGTTTTTCTATGAGGAAGACCTTTTGTTCTTTTATGAAGAAGACCCCCTGGTCTGCTATGGAGGAGAAGACTTCCAGGTCTTTTTACCTGGTCTTCTATAAAAGAAAACCTCCTGGTCTTCTATGAATGAAGACCTCCAGGTCTTCTATGAATGAAGACCTCCAGGTATTCTATGAAGAAGGCCTCCAGGTCTTCTATGAAAGAAGACCTCCTCCAGGTCTTCTATGAAAGAAGACCTCCTCCAGGTCTTCTATGAAAGAAGACCTCCTCCAGGTCTTCTATGAAAGAAGATCTCCTCCAGGTCTTCTATGAAAGAAGACCTCCTCCAGGTCTTCTATGAAAGAAGACCTCCTCTAGGTCTTCTATGAAAGAAGACCTCCTCCAGGTCTTCTATGAAAGAAGACCTCCTCTAGGTCTTCTATTGAAGAAGACCTCCTCCAGGTCTTCTATTGAAGAAGACCTCCTCCTGGTCTTCTATTGAAGAAGACCTCCTCCAGGTCTTCTATGAAAGAAGACCTCCGTGTCTTCGATTGAAGAAGACCTCCTCCAGGTCTTCTATGAAAGAAGACCTCCGGGTCTTCTATTGAAGAAGACCTCCTGGTCTTCTATGAGAGAAGACCTCCTCCAGGTCTTCTATGAAGAATTCCTCCTCCAGGTCTTCTATGAAGAAGACCTCCTCCGGTCTTCTGTAAAAAAATGACCTCCAAGTCTTTTCTATAAAGAAGACCTCCACATCTTCAATGGAGAAGACCTCCAGGTCTTCAATGAAGAAGACCTCCAGGTCTTCAATAAAGAAGATCTCTAGGTATTCAGTGAAGAACACCCCCAGGTCTTCAATGGAGAACACCCCCAGGTCTCTTCTATGAAGAAGACCTCCAGCTCTTCTATGAAGAAGACCTCCAGCTCTTCTATGAAGAAGACCTCTAGCTCTTCTATGAAGAAGACCTTCAGGTCTTCTATGAAGAAGACATTCAGGTCTTCTATGAAGAAGACCTTCAGGTCTTCTATGAAAGAAGACCTTTCCAGGTCTTCTATGAAGAAGACCTTTTCCAAGTCTTCTATGAAGACGACCTTCTCCAGGTCTTCTATGAAGACGATCTTCTCCAGCTCTTCTAGGAAAGAAGACCTCCAGGTCTTCTATGAAGGAGACCTCCAGGTCTTCTATGAAGAATACCTCCAGATCTTCTATGAAGAAGACCTCATCCAAGTCTTCTACGAAGAAGACTTTTCATTGAAGAATATCTGGGGGTCTTCTATAAAAAAGACCTTTAGGTCTTCCATGAAGAAACCTCCAGATCTTCTATGGAGAAGACCTCTAGGTCTTTTCTTCCTCCAGGTCTCTTCTATAAAGAAGACCTCCTGACTTCTTAACACTATTGGCTTTACAAAATTTTGAGTTAAAATCTCATACTTACGTTTCGGATACAATGGCGGCTTATATTTGCTGCTCAGACCACCGCCGCTGCCCAGCCCACTAATTGGTGTATTGTTGTTGTGATTTGAATTCAAATGCTGTTGATTTATCGATGATGATGACGAAGATGATGTGGTTGTTGTTGTATTGGAATTTGCGATGTTGTTATTACCATTGGCTATATTAACACTGTAGGACTTGTTGAGAATGCTACCACTGCCGGTATTCTGTTGGCGATGCAATGTGATGCCATGATCCATGCTGTGGCCACCGTAACCACCAGTTGAGCCAACGCCACTGGTGCTGGTGGGGGTGGTGTTGACAGAGCCGCCAGCGGACCCTGTCAAACTGCCACCCCCGAAGAGACGGCGTTGCGGTATGTAGGCCGTTTTGAGGCTGGTTTTTGGATAATCTCAGGAATTATTCGAACTCTTGGAAATTATTATTTTTTTTTTCACTCAATTTTGTTTTATTTCTGTGGTGAGTGGCCTTGTATTTTTTTCTGCAAAAAAAGAGAGAGAACGAAAATAAATAAATTATTTTTATTAATGATTTATTTTTCTTTCCCCTAACTTTGTGGTGGTAAGTGGGTGCTTGCTGTTTGTTTCTTTTTCGGGAAAGGTAAAGGGGGGATTTTGTTATCTTTAGAGGCCATACGTTGATATTCGTGCAGTTGAGTATTCCATTCTTAATTAAATTTCGCAATTAAATAATTCCGATTGCTTGCCTGGTTGAGACTCCCTGACTGTTGTCTGTGTCTCTTATCTGTAACTTATCTATATGTAGGTTGGTATATCACTTGTTGTGTTATATATCCCTGATAATAGGTATAGAACCCGCCAGGTTATGATGGAATTAGTTATAGGAAATTGGAAGAGTTCATGTTTAATTATATTTTTCTGCTTTGATAATTTAACTATTTTATCTGGATTGTGATGGATAACTTCGTAATTGGTATTTACTTTGGTTACAATGTTTCAGCGAGGTAGAGATAAGAGATTTACTAATGGCAGTGAGGTTTCATGACATGCATATAAATATATACAACGAGGTTTGTTGCAGAAAGTTGTATAATTTATGAAACAAAAAATTATTGGCAGCAAAATTAATAGAATTGCGATTTCGGTGGACTTCTTCATAGAAGAGCTGGAGGTCTTCTTCATAGAAGACTTGGAAGTCTTCTTCATAGAAGATCTAGAGGTCTTCTTCATAGAAGATCTAGAGGTCTTCTTCATAGAAGACCTAGAGGTCTTCTTTATAGAAGATCTAGAGGTCTTCTTCATAGAAGATCTAGAGGTCTTCTTCATAGAAGACCTAGAGGTCTTCTTCATAGAAGACCTAGAGGTCTTCATAGAAGACCTAGAGGTCTTCTTCATAGAAGACCTAGAGGTCTTCCTAGAAGACCTAGAGGTCTTCCTCATAGAAGACCTAGAGTTCTTCTTCATAGAAGACCTAGAGGTCTTCTTTATAGAAGACCTAGAGGTCTTCTTCATAGAAGACCCAGAGGTTTTCCTCATAGAAGACCTAGAGGTCTTCTTCATAGAAGGCCTGGAGGTCTTCTTATAGAAGAGCTGGAGGTCTTCCTCATAGAAGAGCTGGAGGTCTTTTTCATAAAAAACCGAGAGGTCCTCTTCATAGAAGAGCCCGAGTTTTTCTTCATAGAAGAGCTGGAGGTCTTCTTTCATAGAAGAGCTGGAGGTCTTCTTTCATAGAAGAGCTGGAGGTCTTCTTTCATAGAAGACCTAGAGGTCATCTACATAAAATACCTGGAGGTCCTCTACATATTCTTCATAGTAGACCTGGAGATCTTCTTCATAGAAAGACTTCTTCATAGAAGACTTGGTGGTCTTCTGCATAGAAGACTTGGAGGTCTTCTTCATAGAAAACCTGGAGGTCTTCATTCATAGAAGACCTTGAGGTCTTCCAAGTGGCTTGAAAGTACAGGTTTCACTGGGTGAACGATTACAATGTGCGACAAATTTCATTTCTTTCAATAATTACAGGAAATATCTTGCAGATTATGAAATTGGATATTTTACAAATTTTAAATTTTTCGTGGGGGAGGTACCAGAAGGAGTGCGCCTATATGTCCCATATTCCCAGCAGATCTTGTGTTAGTAAAAATAATGGCATGTGTGAAATTTAAAGAGAACCGGATGCTTATCTCTGGTTTTAAGATCGTTTTGATTATTGACCCTGTGTGGGTGAGGTACCAGAAGGAATGGTCCGATCTCCAATTTATAGCAGATCTTGTGTTAATGGAAATATTGAGATGTCTGAATGGAATTGGATGTTAATTTCGCTTTTTATGAGCTTCATATTTATTCTAAATTTTGACCTTTGTGGGGGAGGTACCAGAAGCAGTGGACCGATATATTCCACCTTCACAACAGCTCTTATGTTAGGATGTGCCAAGTTTAAAAATAATCGGATGTTCATTTCGCGTTTTATGAGCTTCATTATTATCAAAAATGTTAACCTCAGTGTGGGGGAGGTACCAGAAGGAGTGGACCGACCTATCCCATCTTCGCGCCTGATTATGTGTTAATAGAATTATAGGGATGTGAGAAATTTAAAGAAAATCTGATGTTTATTTCTCAAATTATAAGAGATATAATTTTTTCAAAATTTTGAGGCTTTGTGGGAGAGGTTCCACAAGGAGTGGACCGGTATCATCCCTCTTCACACTTGATCTTGTGTTAGTAAAAATATTGGTATGTGTGAAATTTGAAGAGAATAGGATGGTAATTTTTTATAAAAATTATAATTATTCAAAATTTTGGATCTTTTTGGGGGAGGTAGTTGATGGAGTAGACCAATACTGCCCATTTTCTCACATCTGATAGAAATATTAGGATTTTCACAAAATTCGATGATCCTCTATTGTTTTATACGGTAAATTATTATCTGTGATTGAAAATGTTGAGCTTTTGTGGGGGAGGTAATAGAAGGAGTCAACCGGTATTGTCCATCTCGACTCGATCTTATTTTGACAATAATATTACGATGTACCAAGTTTGTATCACATCGGATACTCCCTTCGAGAGTTATCGTGCGCGCCTGCTAGCCATACAGATAGACGGACGGACGGACATACATCACTAGATCTACTCCAAATGTCCTGAAACAAATTTGGTCCAAAGATAACTGGAGTTCAAAACTGTTATTTCGATGGGGTCCGTTTTGGCCGTATCAAATGATCAAATATATATCCTCTCTAGCCTTATGGATGAGGGTATAAAAAGCTATATGCAGAATAACTTTTAACATAAACTGAAGAATTTATATTTGGCGAATTCTGAAACTTAATTTGGCGTAGACGGTAGAAAAAAAAAAATCTGACAACTCTGGCTGTTAGTGTTCAGAGTTGAGATTTGGTGGTGTTTTTTGAAACACGTACTAAAAAATTACGAAGAATACTAAATTTAATACTTGGGAATAAGGAACTTAAATGTTAAATGTTTAAACGGATTGAGGAAAACTCTTAAAATTTGGTATGAGAATTAAGTTTGGGAAGTAAGGTTGATATAAGGAATGGGTTTTGAAAATGAGTACTACAAGTTTAAGAAAAGTACTCATTGGTACTAAAGTTTTTTTTTCCAAGTTTTTTAAATTGTCTAGGGGGGAGGTGCCAGGAAAATTGCATTCAAATATTCCATTTTCACACTTGGCCTAATATAGGCAAAAATAGTAGCATGTCATAAGTTTCATCTAAAATTTTACGAGTGATAAATTATCCATAATTTTGCACCCTGTGGGTGAAATATCAGAAGGAGTGGCCCGAGAAATCCCAAATTTATGTTATATCTATGGTTAATAAAAATAAGGATATATACGAAATTTGAAGAAAATCGTTAACATGTTTTACATGTTACGAGATATATCTATAAAATGGAACTAGTTTTAATATCCCGAATTTGTATTTTTAAATGCTTCCTCTACCTCATGACGAAGGGTATTAAAAGCTTGCCCCGGCCAAATTAGCGCTTTTCTATTTGTTTGTTTTAACTAATTCAGTTCTTCTATTTACTAACAATGATTATTTGTCGACAAGTTTTTGATTCTTTCTTATGTTTTCATAAATAATCTAATCTATGTTTTTTTCTATTTTAGATTTCCAGAAAATAAATTTTTGGTAAGTATTGAACTCAATTTTTTTCAAATATACCCTCAAATCATGTATTAACTATATTTCATATTTTCATCTCAGTTTTTATGTATTTCTATGCAACATATTTATCTTGGATTTATCTACAAAGAACTTCTTTAAGAAACCTAATACCTTTGAACTTTTCTTCTAAATACTCAGACAGACAAACAGACTAACTGAATTCTTTGAGTTTTCAAGATGGTTTAAGTTTAAAGCTGTAGTATGTAGTATGTGTGCGTGAATAGCGTGCAACAGTTTACAATACAAATGAGCAGAGTTGCCATTTCAATTTTTGTTTTTACTTGGAGATGGCTGCTACTTTGTCAGCGAAAAGCCCAAAATTTCACAGTCGGTCCAATAGTTCGTATTTGGTCTTCTTAGCACAGGAAAATGCACAATTGGTTCAGTTTGACATTTTTTTTTTATCAAAATTCCATACTTTGTGCTAAATTTTCAAATTTTTAAGGTTTTCAAGTTTTTTCTTTTTCGTAAAGAAAATTAGGAAAATATTTACCTCTTACACCAACAAGTCTTGAAGATCTTTAATTTTGAACTTTACCGAAGAGGATATTGGGAAAATCCTACATCCAATGTTTCTGGAAGAACCATTTCAACGTATTTTCGTAATAAAAATTGCCACCATCGTACTTACATCCTAGAAACCAACCATTATCAAATTTTAGGATTCAAGCTCTATTCATTCACTCAGCGGCAAAATTAGTACCATTTGGTACTTTTCATACAAATATAATACACATTTCCAAAACCACCTATGTATCTCAATCCCAGACATCACAGTGATTTTAGTATCAAATATGAGGATTTTAGGTTTTTAATTCTCCCCATTACCAAATGTAGTACCAATTAGTACAATTATAGCACGCATATTCAAAAACAGCTCCATATCTTAAACACAGACACCAACAGAGACCTCAATATCAAATTTCAGGATTCCAGTTCTACCCCTTCACCCAATACCAATTTTAGTACCATTTAGTACCACCTACATATCTCAATCCATGATATCAAAAGAGACCTCAATATAAAATTTCCAAAACCTCCATATCATAACCACAGACACCAACAGTGACCTCAATATCAAATTTTAGGTTCAGATCTATCCTTACACCCTATACAAAATTTAGTACTTGTCGTACAAATATAAGACGTATTTCCAAACCACAGACACATACCATCAGTATACTAAATATCAAATTTCAGACTTTTATTTATATCTCTTCACCCTATACCAAATATAGTACCATTCAGTGCTTTTCGTACAATTATAGTACACATTTCTGAAACCACCTTCATATATGAATAATATCAGGATATTAGCTCTTCAATTTTTC